ATTAATTTACATAAAAATACAAAAATTAGTTTTTATTTTAACATTATTACAACATAAATAATTTTAATTGATCAATTAATTAAATTAAAATTAATATTTATATTTCTAATACAAATTAATTAGAAAAGGACGCATTTATTGTTACGAGAGAGGCATTGTAAAGGTGGTCAATTTCAAGCTAAAATAGAGGTACGCACGGGCTTTCCTTTTCTTTTGTGGTTGCCTGATCTATTTCTTCCCAACTTGCTTGTTGGGATGAGGACTTTTATTTTTATTTTTATATTTTAGACAATTGGGATGAGGACTTAGTTTTTGAATTGATATTGAGAAGATCGTCGGTATGGTTACGAGCTGGGTTGGATTATTTGCTTTTAGTCATCAATGGTCCCATCTGCCTTCTGTTTTGTGTTAAAGAGTCTTAATTGTAGAGAATTTCTCTGGCCTTCTTTGGTTGATCATGTCTGTATTTGCAACTCTAGTTTTTTATGTTTTTTTTTGTACAAAGGAAGCAAAACTATAGCTTAATCACGGGGAACAGTGCTTCGGAAATGTCTCCGTGCAGAATCAAATGAATACCAGTTGGTGGTTCTATGAAGATTGTAGTCCCCAGCGGAAGTTCATGACCTAGGGAAGCCATGAAGGCTGCAGCATAGTTCCCTTTTCTAAGCGTATGTAAAACAATGCAAGTAGGCAAGGAATCTAACAGAGTGAAGATATCTATAAGCAAGGACAAAGCTGCGCCGTCAACCGACTTGCAAGCCTTGATCATTTGAACTGCCATGAGGTTATCTATTTCCACAGTCAACTGTTGTAGTCCGAGGGATAAGACCAGTTTCAAACGCTCTTGACAACCCCAAAGCTCAGCTAAAAAACTAGAAGTGAGTCCAATATTGGTGGTGAAACCTTGTACCCATTTGCCATTGTAATCTCTAATTAATGAGTCCACCAGCATGCAGTACGTTGCACGACCTATAGCACGGTTCATAGAGCCACGTGTATTAAGCTTCAAAGTGGGAAAAGGAGGAGGCAGCCATCTCACCCAATGTGGGATTGGAGCATGCAGAATCAGCTAAGTACACAAGGCAAACTGCATATCTAAGGGATGAGAGCAAGCAAGAGAGTAAGCAAGAGAGTAAACGATATTGGGATGGATTCGTACCTCTTCAAAGATGAATTTGTTTCTACTCTTCCAAAGACCCCAAATAGTAGATAAGAAAGAGCAGAACCAAGAGACTGTATGTGGTCTAGAGTTGCCCCGACCCTCAACATTCTTCCTTATCCAATCATTGAAGAAATCTATTGGTAACAATGAGCCAAAAGCCTCCCAAACTAATCTTGAATAGAAGCAATCTCGTAAGAGGTGAATGGGAGTCTCCAGAGCTAGCTTGTTCACATCGGAGGCACATAGGGGTGGGAGCAAAATGCCTTTCAAATTAATCTTATGGAATTGGTAAGGACCCTACCACGCCTGAGAAGCCACACAAACATTTTGATTCTTTCTGAACAATCTAATTTCCAAATCTAGCGCCATTGTGATGGTTGAGGTGTTGGAGCAGAACGTTGTTGTTGAATCAATAAAAAAGCAAATTTGGTGGAGAAATCCCCATTTGTGATGACATGCCAGTAGATTCTATCATCTAGCCCTACAAAAATAGGAATAGGTATGTGATGCACCAAATACGCACTAATTTTAGGCAAGTGAACCTAATCGATTATGCAGTATAAGATGAGTAAGATATCGTTCCCTCGAAGACTATCCTACACTACCAAGACCCTATTAATCTAACCTAAGTTGAATTAACCAATTAATGAGGAAAACTAAACTATTTAAAAGAAAACTAAGTCAACTAAAGAAAATTAAACTAAAGAATTTTTTAAGTTAAAGAAAACTATGAATGAAAAGGAACTAAGGTTTGGATTTCATTTAATTCTGAATTATGCAACTATTTCATTAATTTAATTCAAGTTCAAATAATAATGTTATTGCATGAGATAGCGGATTTCCCTAAATTAATTAACCAGCTTTTTCAAGTCAAATTAATCCTTCATTTGTTTGCTAAATTAATCATATCACTATGTAATTTTAAACAAATTAATGAGCATTAAATTCTATGGAAACCTCTAGCTTAAGAAGAGGGAGCTACTAACTCTCTTCTCTTCCTCCACTACCACATGTGAGCTAATTACCTTTCGGTCTCATAGTCTAACACACGGTTTATATTATTACTGGTCTAATTTACACAATTCTTTCTCAAGTTCATGTGTAAATCACTAAATCAATTGAAAGGTGATCAAGCTCTCAATACATTAAGTTCAATAATATAAACTCATCATGCAAATAACCAATAAATCTTGAATTAAACTAACAAAAACAGTCACATA